GGAGGGGGGAATTACTGAGTGGAGAAATATCCTCAATGATCTGGTAACATCACTGCAGCCAGCATCACTTCACCTCTGGAAGGAATTTTAAAATACATGAAAATTCAGGTCACCTGATTTAAAAAATAGCAATGTGAATATTCAGCATACACGAAAGCATCTGAACATCTTTGAATTGTAAATGTTGGTGGATGAGCATTTTCTCTGGCATTTAATTCATTTAATAAATATTTATCCATCTCTTCCTTTGTGCTAGGCTCTGTCCAAGGAACTTAGAGGTATCAGTGAGCAAAACAAAAATCTCTGCCCTCATGCAGCTTATATCCTAGTGAGGAAGACAAACAATAAGTACCAAACAGAATAAGAAAGTTAAGATTGTGTTAAAGGGTGACAAGTGCTGTGGAATAAAGAGAAAGCAGAGCAGGGTAGGGAGGGTCAGGCACTGAGGGAAAGAGGACAGACTCATCTGTCTGCTTCTCTTTAGGGATGCCTGACTGCCATTTCGATGGAACCTTATTGTTAAGCCTCAGTGAATAAGATCACGACAATTAAACCATCCCTCAGGCTTTGAGGATTGTTATGAAGGGGATGAACACTCACACACAAGGCACTGGCTAGGTTTCCGGGCATTACTGCTAATTTTATTAACCCTCAGCACAACTGCAGGCTGAGTCAGCTGCCTCAGATGTCAATTGGTTCAGGATTCAGAGAAGCATAGGATCTGATTTGGCTCCAGAGGTTAATAACTGAGCCTGGGTTTTTTTGTAGGGACCTAATTTATAATAAGAATAATTGTAAGAGGAGACAGTCACAAATAAAGACTGTAATTCAGTAATCATCTACTCCTGTAAAATAATATTTTTAACAGTATCTCTTAGCAGCACCAGGATCCTTTATTGGATACTGTAATCAGTGAATGACAAGATTCTATAACTATTTCTACACTATCCCTCCAAGATAGAATCAGCTCTACTAAAGAAAGCAATAAAGCTTTTTAGAAGCCATTATTTAATAGGGAGCAAATATCTGTATAATAAAATATTTATTATTCTAAAAATACCTTAGAGAAAAGCACTGTACTTACCAGAAACAATGAATTCTTTTCTATGCTTTTCTAGTTCTAGTTCTGTTTAGTCCAGTGTGAGCTGTTTCATCAGTGCAAGATACACATATGGTCACACGTCTTTTGTTTTTCCAGATAATCGCTGCTTAAAGTCTAGGATTTCCATTTTGAAGCCTCCCACTTCTCCTTGACTTGTCTGAAACCATGAGTGTTCACTCAGTCCAGTGAGCTCCTTCCCATTTCTTCATATAGCAAGCAGACTGGATGTGCGTCATGGTCCTTTGTTCTTTTGCTATGTTGTGCTGAGTGGAGCTGCTGAGAACTGACTGGTGCTGTGTGGCTCAGTTTGTAAAAGATTTTGTGTGAATGCAAGTCTTCCTTTCTCTAGGATAAATGCCCAAGGTGAAATTGCTGGGTTGTGTAGTAGGTTCAATTTTGGTTTTAGAAGAAATAGTTTTCCGGAGTGGTTGCACCATTTTACATTCCCAGCAATGCATATGTGTCACAATTTCTTTGTCTCCTCGTCAGGATTTGGTGTCATCACAATTGTTTATCTTAACACATTCTGATAGTATGTAGTGATATCGCATTATAGTTCTAATTTACATTCCCCTTGGCTAATGATGTTGAGAATCTTTTCATGTGCTTATTTGTATACTCTGGTGAAATATCTTTTCATATCATTTGCTCATTTTCTAATTAGATTGCTTGGGAGTTTTTGTTATTGAATGTTGAGCATTCTTTATATATTCCAGATAGAAGTCCTTTGTCAGATACGTTATTTGAAAATATTTTTCCCAGTGTACCATTGTCTTTTCATCCTCTTAATGGGGTCTTTCACAGAATAGATGGGTTTAAAATTTATTTTTGATGAGGTCCAACTCAACAAATTTTCTTTTCACCCACTTGTTTTTCATTTAACAAATAATCACTGGATGTCTACCATTTATCAAGATAATGTTCAATGTGCCTATAGGAATCAAAGATGTGACATGGTTCCAATTTCAAGGCATTCCCAGTCTAATTGGGAGACTGAAGATACATCCAAATAACTAATATTACATAACAAAGACTAAGTTGAAATGGAAGAGGTAGAGATACATTTTTTTGAAAATCAGATATCATGTTTTGGCTGATTGAGAAGTGGCGGGTGAAAGTTTCATCACTTCTATGCTGGCGCTTGCCACAAAATGGTATAGAAATTTCCTTTATAAAATTGGTTTTTTAGACTAAAGTGATCATTTTTAGATAGCTAACATATTAAATCTCATTATGTACCAAGCAATTTCACATACATTGTATCAATTAATAACACAGTGGACAGGATTATGCCACATTTTGTGTTTAGGGAATCTAGGATTCAGCAAAGTTAAGTAACTTGTCCAAGGTCACAAAGACAAGAAGCAGTAAGGTCATACTGGCACCCCAGTCTTGTGATTAATGCTCTTTTAATTCTATCCAGAATCCTCCTGAGACATGTCCTTCTCTTGCCAGGATAAACTCATCAATCTTCTGGCTAAGAAACGGACTGTCTGATTCATGTTTTAAAAGAAGATGAGATACATATCCTTGGTTCACAAAAGTCAATGAGCTCTTCTTGATAAAGGAAGAATCCATTTAAACTTTTATAGTGGTCAAGATCATGCAGAAAAGGGAAAAACAAACACTGCCTGTGAGTCATGAGAAGCAAAAGAAGGGATGGCTATTCAGTAAAATTTTGCTGAATGACAGTTCAGGATGGAGTAACCAAAGGGATAAAACTTTAGGTCATCTTGCTTTGTTACCCAACTCATCTCCAAATGCCAAACCTTTCATAGGGAATGTTTAAAAAAAAAAAAAAGTCAGTAAAAGCTCAGGGGAAGAATGGAGGTTTTGCCTGTTTCTGACCTACAAGATGACAAAAAGGGAACTGGGGCTCTTTCTTGTTCATAACATCTCCAGATTTCCATCTGTACTTTCTTCCTGTCTTATTTGTAAGCTTGCCCAAATCACTAAACTCTTCTGTATGTATTTGTTTTTCTTTTGAAATGTTTATCACTTACATAAGATGTTAGGATCTCGATTCTCAAAGAGTCTATAAGGAAGTGAGTTTATACATTAAGTGAGTTTTACAAATACCAGCCCAATGTCAAATAATCTTTGAACGGAGATTCTTGTCCTGATGCTGCCACTACTGGGCCCCATGTGGAAAGTAACCCTTTCACATTCTACACTCAACCCTTTCCTCTGCTGACCTGTGCCTGAAGTTAGACCTACCATTTTGTATAACAAAAGTAAAAATAAGAACATTGGACGAATACCTTTGGTTGATCAGATTTTCAATGGGTAAGCGGGAATGGAACATGAGGGCAATGGTGCCTCCAGGCAGAGGAACTGAGAGGCTGGGAGCAAGGATGGGAAGGAGTCTTGTTAACTGTGTAGCCATATGCACTAGGTGAATTTCCTACCATGCCAAAGTTAATCAAGCACAGGTAACTAAAACTGAATGTAAACAAAATAGGAACAACACACAAATTTTCTTCCACTTTAGGCAGCTTGTGGATAATAAAATCCCTTTAAAAGAGGAAACTCGATCTTAAGAGAAATCAACTCTTTTATCTTCCAAGTTCCCTTCTTAAAGGTTTTTGTTTTTTGCGGCTGCGAGCAGATCAGCAAAGGAGCCATCCATTTCTACAGAGCAAATTTACACGGGGTGAACACTCTCAATCCACCGTCCTGAGAGAGGACTCCCAGGGGTTTAGGAATCACCAGTGTAGCTCCACAGACACATTATTTTGATGGAGTGACTTCCATGTTGCGGCTAAAACTGACAATGTGTTTTCACAGCCGAGGTGTTGGGGCTAAGGCAGTAGGTCTCAGGGAGATTCCGGGACCTGCTCCTGGGGAATGCAAACGCGCTATGAAGCCCTGGGCTGGAGGCGAACCTTTCAACTCCCAGGCGTTCTTCCAGGACCTGGACCTCCTGGCAGGGGCCCGAACGCGTCTCTTACTTGCAGCAATATTCGGGCGTCCTGGCAGCGCCGGCTCACTAAGCCTCCCGTGCGGCTGCGATGGGGGGCTTCGTAGGTTTGGGCGCGCAGTAGCCTGGGACAGACTCTGAGCCCAGCGCGAATCCAGTCTGTGTCTGTTGAACGACTAAGCGTCCCCAGCACAGTCAATTCCTGGCAGAATGAAAGGAATCCAAACCAGGGCATGGGTCACCACGGTGACTTTAAATACCCAGGGACTGTGAAGTGGGGAAGAGCTGTCTTTGGAGAAGCGCTACGCAGGCTTTAGTGAGGCTCGGGAGGGAGGGCGCCCACACTCCGCTGGGCGAGAGGCAGCGCTGGTTAGACAAGCCGACCCCGGATTCGGGTGACGTGTCACTCCGCGGTCAGGGAGCGTCCGGGCCCCGGGGCTCAGGGGTAGGGGACAGGAAAAACCTTACTTCAAAGATAAGAGTGACCTGAGGTCTCGCCTGGGGGGTTCCATGGCCGTGGTCCCAGCACTGCACTGCGCTGCTGGGAAGAGCCCAGGAAGGGGCGTGGATCCCCGCCCCGGGCGCGCGCAGCCCCAGCCCCGCCTCCTCCCGATGCGCCCCGCCCCTCCCGACGCGTGCCGCCCGCGCGCCCGGGGAGCTTCTGAGGAACCGGCCCGGCGGATACCCCTCTGCCCCGGCGCAGGCGCGAGCGCGCACCGCCTCTCCCGCCGGGCGCTCCGCTGGCGCTCCCGCCCCGCCTCCGCACGCGCCCCCGCCCCGGGCACCTCTGATTGGCCGTGGGCCCGGCCAGCAGGTGTCGGCGGCCGCTGCGGCCAGGCTGGCCCCCGCTGCCTGCGGCGCGGGCGCCTCCCTCGCAGCCGCTGCCACCGCCGCGCTCCCAGCCTTCTGCCCGCTCCCCGGCTCCCGCTGCGGCTGCGGTTCTGGCGGCCGAGCCCCCAGGGCGCTGCGGCTTAGATCCGGCGCGCCTACAGACCCGCGCCCCTGCCTCGCTGCTCGCAGCTCGCTCATCCACGCACCGCGCCGCGCTGCTGCGGCAGGTGCCCCAGGCGTCCTGAAGCGCGGTGGCCGCCATCGATGACCCGGGCCACGGAACTGCTCCAGCCCGGCCACCCCTTGTGAGTACCGTCCCCTCCTCTCTGGCGGCTTTGCGCCACTCTCCCGGTTGCGTTGCCGCAACTTCGGGGGTGGGTGTGTGGAGGTGTCTCTCACGTACCCCCCCGCCCGAACACACCCGTGCGAGTCCTGAGCGAGGGCCTCTGGGCACGGCCGGTCTGCCTCTGCGGAGGGGCTTGGGGGCGGGGGTGGGAGCTCTTGAACTTGCTAGAGGATCGTCGCAGAGTCGAAACCGCCCCTTTCTCCCTTGGACGCGGCTGGAGCTCGACTCTGCGTTTCTCTAGCGTTTGGCGTTCCTCACTGGCCACGTAGCTCCTGGGCTGCGGTTCACCGCGCACCTACTACGCTGCAGGCGCCCCGGCGGGGCGCCTGGAGCCATCGGGTAAGCACCCCGGAGCAGCCCAGCGCGGCGGACTTGACTCTTTCCGACTCTTAATTTCTGTAAAATGGGGCTAATCAGGACTCGCTCAAGGTCATGGCCGGTGCGCGGAGTAAGAACCTTAGTGGGTCGCGTCTGGCTAGGTCCGCGGACTGCTTGGGTAGGGGCGCGCTGTTGCAGATGGATGGTCACTTTAGCTTCATCCCGGTCTCCTTTTCATAATTCCTTCCCCCCAACTTTGCCGGATTTGGAGAGGTCGGGAGCCGATCCCAAGGGACCCTACAGAGGTTTGAGGTGTATCTGCGGGGCACCTTTGGGGTGAGCCGAGCGCTTCTGCGGCTGGGACCCCTGGACCTGCAGCATTTGCAGCATCCTCTCCAATTTCAGTCATTTAATTTGCTAACGTCTCGGCAGGGTAGGGGAATTTGCTAGGTGTCTGCTCTTAGATCCATCCTGCTCTGTTTCCTTCTCCCAAATAAGCCCTGTTCCCGAGGATAAGTATGGGAGAGATTAACTGTACACACCAGTTTGGGCCCTAGGACTTCGTAAGAGAAGCGTGTGCGCTCTGCTCTTGGCTTAGTCAACATTGACTCTCATCAGCTCTAAGAAAATGTCTTGAGTCTGGCTTCATCCTGCCAGCCCTACTCCCTGCCCCCAGATCTGGGTTTGTTGCACTTTCCCTGGGGAGGGTGGAGTCCAGTCGCAGAATGTGTAACTGTTGCCGGATGTGAATAGTTTACTCCAGCTCCTTTGAGGCAGCTCCTGTGGGTCTGTGGGTGGTTCTCAGAGCTTTGGACTGGAGACAAAGTCACCCCCCTCTTTTGACATTGTTATTCTGTCCCTTCAACTCAGGCTACCTCGCCCTAACTCAGTGGTCAGATATTTACTTGGATAATTTTGTGATGTCTGACAAATGTCTTTGGACCTCAACTTTTTTTTTTTTTTTAAGTAATCTCTGTGCCTAAGGCGGGGCTTGAACTGAGGACCCCAAGATCAAGAGTCCAGTGTTTTACTGGACTGAGCCAGCCAGGCGCTATGAGCCTCATTTTAAAAAAAATCTATAAAACAGAAGAATCCCTGCTTTTTAGTCTTCCCAAGGCAGTTGGGGTTCAGGGGACATGGTAGAGGTGAAAACAGAAGGACTATGTTCCAGACGATCTGAGCTGTGGGTAGAAGTGGAGGTGATTTCAAGATTTTTTTTTTTTTTTAACAGCAGTTTCTGGGACCTTATTAGATCTAAAAATCTTTCCAGAGAAATTGAGTTTGGTAAGACTTTGAAAATACTACATTTCATCTTCCAGTTGCTCTTCCTTACCTGTCCATGGGTAGCCACATCTCTCACAATGTCCCCTTACCCCATCTGTGGTGTGTGGGCTGGAGGCTAGCTGTCTCTGTGGGGTTTGGGCTGTCTCTGGTGGTGGTGAGGCACTGTGTCTGTGTGTGTGTATGTGGGATGGTTGTCTCTGTGGAACTAAAGTGTGTCTCTGTGGAGACATGGATATCTTTGTGGTCTTGGTTTCGTGTGGAGGGGGTAGGGCAGGGGCAGTTGCCTGCTCCAGAGTCTGCTCATTTTTGGAAAAGTGAAGTATTAGCCAGGTCCAGCAATGTAAACTCACAGTGGTCTAGATTGTGTCCTTTCTCCTTCCTCTCCTCCCAAAGGGGCAAAAGGAGAGCATTTGTGGCCTTGGCCTTTGGAGAAATCAAATGACAAAGACTGAAATAACTGAGAGAAACATGCGTCCCCTGTTCTTAGTTCATTTTGTATCTGCACAGCCTTTTGTCCTAAAGGCAAGTTAAAGAGGGACAAGTGATCAGAACTTGGTGACTTTGTTTTAATATTATATTAAACTATGACATAATGACAGAAAATGGCATAGATATGAAGTGTACACTCTGGATTTTCACAAACTGAACACCCCTGTGTAAACAGTGCCCAGAATAAGACCTAGAATATTCTCAGTCTCCCCTGTCCTCTATAGATACTGTTCCCCAAGGGTAATCATCATCCTGCTTTGTTTTGTCAGGTGAGTTTTATTTTTATTCCTATTATTATTTCTTTCACCAGTTTAGTTTCAAAGCTAAAATGAAACTGCTTGATGATTTTCTACCTCCTCTTTTAATGTATGCAAACCAAAGGTAGTTGTAGGTAAGCCAGTCCAGAAATCTAGGAGGAAGGATTTGGTCTTAGGAGCTGGGTAGAGTCTACACTGGTTGTCTCCTCCCTTCCCCCCAATAGGTTCTTGGGCGGTGAAGCAAGCCAGACCCCAAATACATCAAGCTGATATTGATAAATTGAAGCCAGTTTATTCACAGAGTGTATTTGAAAAATGCAAGTCTGAAATAGTGTCATGGTAAAGTGTACATAGAAAATTTGAATGAATTCTCATCAGAAACATAAAAATGGGAATGTTTTGAATTTCTCAAAATTAAAAACTGGTAGAGGATCTAAGAATGTCAAGGCTTAGTGATTTATAAACTGTTTATGCTATCGCCACATGGTGGCGCCACGTTGGCTGGAGACCAGCAATACCCAGCATTCTTTCCCAAGTCCGGGGGAAAGCAGTCCCAGGAGTAAAATCCAACAGTTTGGCATCTCCAGAAATGATTTTCAAACACTGTTGTTTTTCCCATGTTTGGCAGGTAAGTTTCCCCTCTGGTACCTGCTACACTAAGTCCATGGATCAAACCCTGTCCCAGCTTTTCGGGAGGGTGGCTGGTGGGTCAGAGGCACCTGTGTGTTGGAGAATGGAGAGCTGAGATATTGTTGCCCTCTCTTGGGTAGTACAGAACTGTGGCATGTCCTTGGAATTTTATTTTATTTCATTAAAAAAAATTTTTGTTTATTTATTTGACAAAGAGACACACAGCAAGGGAGGGAACACAAGCAGGGGGAGTGGGAGACAGAGAAGCAGGCTTCCTGCAGAGCAGGGAGCCTGATGTGGGGCTCTATCCCAGGACCCTGGGATCATGACCTGAGCCGAAGGCAGATGCTTAACCCACTGAGCACCCAGGCATCTGTGTCCTTGGAATTTTAAAGAGAATTGGCTGAGAAACTATCTTAGGTGTGTTGTGATTTTCTTGGTCTTCTTTCACCCCAGAATTCCCCCAAAGGTGTGAGAGAAGGAGTTCTCTTTCCTGAGGCAGGTAGCTATTTTCACAGAGCACTGTCCGTGGTGAACTTGGAAAAATAAAGAGGCATGGGTATAGCCAGATTGCTGCCCCATGAAATGCCCTCTGTGTTCCACGGGGTGGGGGCCAAGTCGCAAAGGGAGACCACAGGGTGGGGGCGGTTGTATCCGGCTGTGGAAAGGGCCAAGCAGACCCATTCAGTGCCTTTTCTTTTTACCGTCGGTGTGACGGAGATGCTGCTTAGAAGATTGTATTCGTGTGCTGGCTGCCATGACTGTGGTTGCCAAGAGTGCTGTATACTTGCCATGTGCTGGACCCTACATATGTATATTCAGTTAGTCTTCATCACGGGAGGAGGGTGGCTTTCCCATTTTCAGGATGATGGAACTGGGTCTGGAAGCACTCTTTCTGAGTTTTACATTATGTGAGCCAGAGCAAGAATGGAGCGCCAAGTCTCCCAGACGTCTTTCCCAGCTGAGTTGTGTGCCCTTATGTGGGGTGAGAGGAGCTTTGCACAATTCTTCTTCTGTCTTCCCTGGCATCTGGTAGAGAGCCTTGCATGTAGTGGCTACTTAGGGCAAAGTATGGGACTGCCATTAAGTAGAAACTTCCTGCTGAGCAAGAGGGAAATCCAGACAGTGAAGGATGAGCGTTTGGGATTGAATCCCGGCAACCTGCAACATTGGGACTGAGCGTGGCCCCACCAGAATGTGTAGTCTTATTTTATGTTTAAAATTTTATGTAAATGGAGATCTGTTATTCGTTTTTGTAATTTGCTTTTTTTCACCCAACGTTGTTTTTAAATGTATGTTGATAACATTTGTTGATAATCATAAGTTTAGTTTATACATTTTAACATAATATTTCCTTGTTTGGTATACCAGAGTTTGAATATGGATCATTGATGGACAAAAAGGTGTTTTTACCTTTTGCTGTTATGAAAAATATTGCAGGGAATATCCTTGATAAGGTCTTATGCAAGTGTATGTGTGTCTAGGATTTATATCCCCAGACGTAATAACTGGGTAGGAGGATATGCTTACATCAACATCTATCTGTTGCTGGGTTTTGGAGATTGTCCTCTGTAGTTGTTGGGCCACTTTTTACTCCTACTATCACTGTCCTGAAGCTCCTTGTATCCCCATTACTTTGTGCCATCAGATGTTTTAATTTTGGTTCATCGAATAAGCATGAAATGTGTTTCACTGCTTTTTTACTTGCATTTCCTGTAGCAGTTTTTTGTTTGCTTTTTTAAAAGATTTTTGTTTTTAAGCAATCGCTGCACCCAGTGTGGGGCTTGAACTCACAACCATGAGATCAAGAGTCACATGTTTTACCCACTGAGCCAGCCAGGCACCCCTCCCTTAGAGATTGCTAAAAATATATATTTTGGTTTTCAGAGTTTCTTTTCTGTACATTGCTGTTTTTCCCAGATAAAACTTTCAAATCTTATACTTACCTGAAATTTATATTTCTGTGTTGTGTGAGGCAGGG